GAGCATTTGCTGCCCACTGGGTTGGAGGTATGTATGGGAAGGGACTGTCCTGCAGCAGGCCCTGGACAATGGAGAAAGGGCACAAGGCCCAGGATGGGGTTTCACCAAGTGTGACTAAGGGGCCACATGCAGGCCTGTCCTCTGCTCTGTCCAGGCCACAGAGCTGCTGCCCCAGATGGGGTCTAAAGCATAGACATATACAGAGAGCTACACATGTGTATGGACACATGTGCACACATACCTGGGGCATGGACCTTATACACACACACACACACACACACACACACATGCTGTGCACCTGACACTGTCTAGAAACTCAGAGGGGGCAGGGGGAAGAAGGGCTGTGGCCTGCCACTGGGGTGCCTCCTGGCCCAGACTGGGGAGTATAGCCTCCAGGCCCCTAGTAGAAGGGTAGGAGTGGGGAGACTTGAGGCTGCTACCTCTGCCACCATCAGTCCCACACATCACAGATGCTAGGGCACAGTGTGGGCAAGACAGACAGAGAAACTGAGGCCCAGAAGCCACAAGTACTGTGTACATGATCCCCAGCCAAAGAGGAGCAAGGGAGTGGGCTGGGGTGATGGAGCCCAGGAAACAGCCCCTGCTCACGGGCCTAGGGCTTGAGACCCTCACCTGTGCCCTGCAGGGGGCGGAGGGGACAGGGACAACAAGCTGGCCAGCAGACACACAGGGCCACCACCCATTGGGAAGACCATGGCCACCTCCACTGTGCTGTGCCATACTGTGTGAGTGTTCACCGTGGCATTAGCACCGTGACAGGTGTACAGTGACAGACCAGACCCCTCCCAGCCCGTGGTTGCCACAGGCTCTGCAGACTGTCACTGATGCCCACAATGCTCAGAGGGGTAGCCTTTCCCCAGAGGTCAGACAGCTGGCCCAGGGCAGCAAAGGGAAGACCATCCCTTTAGATGCTATAGAGACCACCGTCCCCTCTTCTCAAGCCCCGATTCTTCCCAAAGAGCATCCAGAAGACGTGACTGACATTTGGGTGAAGACTCATGAGATTTCTGTCCTCTAGTGCTGTGGTGTGTGGATCCCAGATGAGAACTCTGCCCCCCACCCCCTGAGCTTGTTTCCTCATCTACTGAGTGGGCACGTGAGGACAGCGCCCTGAGCAGCAGCTGTCAATGTCACCACTGTTCCCACGACACATCTTCCCTCAGGAAGGTGCTGACCCGCACAGCAGGAGCCCAGTCCAGGCTCCTACTTCACTGTTAGCAAACTGCTGCTGCCCAGGCAAGGGGGCAAAGGAGGCTGTGTGATGGCTTTGCTTTCACCGACCTGAGGGGTCCCCCTTGGAGGGAGCAGCCTCCCCCACAGCAGTAGCCCTCAGGGCAATGGGGGAGCAGATATACTGCTGTGCAGCCTAGGCAGCCTAGCCCTGGGGCCGTCCTCCATGCCATGAAGGCAGGCAAGTGCTCCCACTCTCAAGTCTCAGTCTCCCATCTGGAGTGTAGCAGGCAACCTGAAGTAGGTGTTCTGGCTGGTAGGCATGGACACTGCTCTGTCCCCCTCATGGGAGGGCTGGGCTGGGCACACATACAGCCCCTGATCAAGGTCCCCACAGGTGGGACCAACAATGCAGGCTCTTGCACATGGACAATGGGGCCACATCCTGAGCCCCCCACACTCCTGGCCCTAGCAACCAGACCTAGCATGATCGCGTGCCCCTTGCTCAGGGGGACACTGAACACCAGCTTGCAGAGAAATCACTACCACTGAGTGCCCTGCATGGGCCCGGGGGGAGGGGGGAGTTCTGGCCCCCTCCATATGGTCACCTCCCACCAGGACTCGAGTAGCCTCCACCGCCTGCCACAAGGCCCCAGCCCAGCCCCGGCATCTTAAGACTGAGGGAACTCGGTTACTTCCAGCAGAAATGCCCAGCACATGCCCAGACAGCATCAGAAGCTGGGCGGCCCACACAGCATTCACTGGCTGATGTGGTCGTGGGGAGGCCAGGGCAGGTTTCCCAGCACAGCTGGGCACAGCAGCTTGCATCTAGTTTCAGAAACCTATTGTATGGATTATCAAAGCAACACATACCGGTCATTGTGGGAAAAAGAATTAGAAAAAGGAAGCCACCGATTACCGTGTCTACAATTTGGGTGTCTTCCTTCTCACTTTTTACTCCTGGATACTTGCCTCCTAGACACACGTATGGAGGTGGGAAATAACCCTTTCTCTCTAGTAAACATACGTGCATAGCATACTCTGGCCAAGGCAGTTAGTTACTGAAGGTCAAGGCCAGAACTCAATATTTTTTCAGGATGTATCTTTTCTCTGATACGGATCTTTGAACCAGCTCAAAGCGTCTTGCTGTTCTGAAGCAAATTAGCAAAGAATCAAACAGATGCCAAACCAGAAGGGTGGTTTCCACTGGGTACTAGTAGCACACACTCTCTCAAGAGGTAGGCACTACATAGAGCATGGAGGGGAAAGACTGGTACACAGGCATACAGACACCCTGAGGGGAAGTGCTGGGAGGCGCACAGTAGGCCTGCTGGGCTCACCAGGCTCTTGCCTGCAAAGCAGATCTCCCAGAGGACCCAGGGGCTAGCACAACCTGACCTATGGCCTGATGGGTCCCTCTGCCATTAGGAAGGATCAGGAGGACCCTGTCAGAGGACCTCAGTTCTGCCCTGGCCTGCCCCTTAAGGGCCTTCCCATTACCTCTGGAGACAGTGGTGTCACAGGAAAGACAGCCCCTGTCGTCCCCCGTCCCCCCCCCGCCCAAATCACAGAACCTCTGTCCCACTGCCACCTGCTCACTGTTCCCACTCTGTTGAACAGTTAGAAAACTGATGGGAGGACCAGGGCTCTGATGTGCAACCCGTGCCCAGCCCATGGGACACACCCCCAACTCAGATGCTGAGCGCTAGCTGTCCAACCCAAAACTCCATGGAGGCAACTCCATCCCCAGGGCCTTGTACACACTGGGAGCCCGGCCAGACCTGGAAGCCCCCTCCTCCATCAACACCACCACTGTCACATGCATGTGTCCACAGCACCGCACAGAGGTGGCCTGGGGTCCTCTTAGCCACCCAAGGAAGGGACTCGTCTTCCCTTAGGAGAAAACACAGGAAGGTGCACAAGGAGGTGCTGGAAGAGTGGGGTCAGGGGCCTGCCTGGGGCATGGGGGACGGGGCAGGCTGCATCCTCAGGACAAAGGTAAGGAGGACTCTTGGACAGTGGCACTCTTCAAACCTTCTGAGCAGGTCGACACCTAACACTGGTTGTTTATGCCCTGGGGGATGGCAGCAGTTTACATCCCTGTGCCATGGCAGCCCTGGCAGAGCTGATACTGGGTAGGCTGGGGCCTTGACATTCATGGCACTGGGCCTCAGTGTCCCCATCTGTACAGTGGAGTCTGAGGACAACCAGAGTCAGAACAGTGCCTGGTCGGGTACACGTTCACTGCATGCTGGCACTCAATGTCCCAATGAATTATCTGAACTCTGGGGAAAACCATTATACTTCAGCAAAAAACGAGTCAACCAATCTAGAAATTATGACTGCTATAGAAGTCCCGTACTTTCCCGGGCAGGTCAATCCCTCCCTGGCTCAGTAGTGCAGAAAAAGGTGCATGGTGACTTGGCTGTGTGAACACCAGGCAGAGAGCAGACTCAGTCTCACTATGATCTGATGGGGCTGCTGGGAGCCTGCAGAAGCCCCCGAGCCCAAGACTGCCCTCCTGAGTGTCCCCGATGCCAGAGGAGTGCACTGAAGCTGCTGCAGCACATGCGTTCTACAGCTTACTTCAGCAGGACTGCAGTGACTTCTGGCACAGCCTTCCCCAACAGTAGTTTCTCCTCCCACTTGGTCACTCCACAAACATGTATGGGGCATGGGGACCTCACAGAGCACACAAGACAGACATGGTGCCCGCTCTCTTCCAGCTTACAAGTTTTGCCGGGGAGAGAGCCAAAAGAGAGCGTGAATCACTAGATGGCTTCAGGGAGAGTGGTCACTGACAGAAAGGAAAGCAGGAGATGGGTGGGTGCGGGTCCTGCTTCAGGTCACTGAGGAGGGCCTGAGTAACATCTGCGCTGAGACACGGAGGTTGCAAGCAACCTCGGCAGAGGGGACGGCAGGTCCAGAGAGCCCGAGGCAGCAGAACATCAAGAGGCTAACATGGTGACACAAGAGGATGTGCAGGGTGCAGGGCAGGCACACAGGTGGAGGGTGGCTGGAGGAACCAGTCTCAGTGGCTGCAGTGCAGAACTTATCCACGCCTCCCCATGCCCCAAGTGTCTCAGCTGGCGAGCCCTCGGACTGGAAGCCAACTGGGCCCCCCAAGTGTACACACAGAAGACCGGGCTGCGGTGGAGGGCTGGGTGGCGGCTAAGTGCCCCACTTCTATGCATCTACCTGCCCCTGGGCCACCAGCACCTAGCCCTGCTCTCCTTCAGGAGGGGGTGCACAGTGGGGACCTGCACGTAGGCACTTCCCCATCCCCAGAGCTTGGCCTCTAACCAGGGATCCCAAGCCCCAGGAAAAGGAAGGGGGGCTGTTAGCCGGGCAACCTCTGGGACCCCCAAACCCAGCAGATGGTGGCTGCCCCGGTGAGCGATGCAGGCGACCCTGGAGGGGGGGCAAGCCGGCGGGCGCCAGCAGGACTATGGGGTCTGGCCGGCGTTCCTGCACAGTTCTGGGGGGCCGCGGCGCCCCAGCCACCCAACCTGCCAAATCTGAGCGCCGGTACCCACTTCCTCGTCCACTCACCTGGGTTCATGCAAGAGGGGCGGTGCTTGCGCAGCAGACACCACCCGGGACACCTCGGCCAGACCAGGCAGCGGTGAGGCAGCCTCAGGACGGGGCTCTGATGCCGCCCAGCCCCGGCCCGGCCTACACGGGCACCTCCGGAAGGGCAACAAGACGAGCCTCCGGGTGCCCACTGCGCCCCCGCCCCTGCCGCGTCCAGCGGCGCCGTCCGGAGACCCCCCCCCCCGCCGGCAGCCCGCGGCGGCCGCCGCACCTACCTCCAGGGCCTCGAGCGTGCTGAAACTGGCGATGGCGAAGCCGTCGATGACCTCCTCCTCCTGCGAGCTGGACTCGCGGCGGCGGCGGCGCGGGGGGCGCGCGGCGGCGGCGCGGGGTGGGGGCGCGCGGGGCAGCCCCGCGTTCTCCTTGCCGGGCCCGGGCTCGGCCTCGTCGCCCGACGACGCGCTCTGCTCTCGGCCATCGCGAGCGGCCTCCCGGCGCCGGCCGCGGTCCCTCTGCGCGCGCGAGCGCCGGCTCTGGCGGACCTTGGCCTCCATGGTGCGCAGTGACCTTGCAGCCGCGCGTCGGGCCCCCGCGCTCCCGCTGCCCCTGCCGCTGCGCTACGCGGCACCGCCGGGCTCGCTGCGAGCCGCGCGGGCTCCGGCCCTGGGCGGCGGCGAGCGGCGGGCCGGGCCGGACATGCCGCGCGGGCTCCCTCAGCCCTGGGCCCGCCGCGGCCTGGGAGCCCCGACGCGGGCGGCTGCGCGCATCGGCGGGGCGGCCTGCGCTCAGCGGCCCTCGGCCGCGGCCCCGGGGGCGCGCCTCATGCGCTGCGGGCGGCGACGGCGGCGGGCGGGGCCCGGGCTGAGGCGCCGCGGCCCGGAGGCTCGGGCTCTAGCTGAGACGGCGACGGCGGCAGTGGCGGCGCCCGGAGCCGATAACAACTGACGTACTTCCGCCCGGCAGCCAGCGCCAGAGGAAGTGGCGCTGCGTGCGGCGAAGCCCCGCCCCGGCCCCGCCCCGCCCCTCGGGCGCGCCCCGCCCCCGGCCCCGCCCCTCGGGCGCGCCCCGCCCCGGCCCCGCCCCCGGCCCCGCCCCCCGGCCCGCCGCCGAGCACGCCCCGCCGAGGCCCCGCCTCCGGCTCGCTGGGCCCCGCCCCCTGCGCGCGGCCTGCAGGCTCCGCCCCCCGGGGAGCTCCGGGAGCCGCGCGTCTCCCCGCCGCCCAGCCCGCACCTGTGCTGGGGCCGCTCCACGCGGGAGGCGCGCGGCGCATCCAGGAGTCTCTGCCCTCCTTCAGTCGCATCGGACGCGTGGGCGAAGGGGCACGCTCACTTCCGCTCCACCCGCACCGCGGTCTAAGGTGTGTCCGCGTGCCCCCGGCCCCTGCCCTGCAGGTGGGCCTCCCGCGGGGCTCTCAGCTGTCCAGCCGCTCCAGACCCCAGAACACACCTTCGCAGAGACCCAGGGCTGCCTGGTTTGCTTGCAGGCAGCCGCTTGGGCTCCAGGGCTCAGTCCCCAGCAACGCTCCAGAAAAGCTGAACGAGAAGGGGCAGCTGGAGGGTTGAAAGCTAGATCCAAGGGTGAACTTCCTCATTCAGCAACAGGAGATTGTCTGGAGTCAGGAGGGGCCGTCTGCGTCCAGGTTCGTCCAGGTTCGTGGTGCTGTAGTGGAAGACAGCACGATCGCGTAGCCAAATAACAATGTCTGATGATACCATGAAGCAAACTGAATAGGGAGGCGTCATAGTGAGTTTGGGGTAGACCCAGGATGCCCCTGAAGGAGGGTCTGAGCTCAGACCTGCAGGATGAGGAGGAGCTGGCGGGCACAGAACTGGGGAACCATGCCTCCCTGCAGAGAGCATGGCCCACGCAAAGGCACTAGGGCAGGAAGACGTGCTGGAGGGTCCCCCCATATAGAGACTTGAGCTTTGAGTCTGTGTCACCCTGCCAGGGCCAAAGACCCCCATGGGTGGGGGGGCAGAGAGGTGCCTGGCTTGGGTGCCCTGTTCACCAGGCTGTCCCTGGTAGCAGTTGGGAAGGCAACTCTACAAACTTCTGGACAAAGGGATGGGGCTCTTAGGTCCCGGCCCCTCCCTTCAGTGAGGCTCTCTGGTCTCTGAGCCCTCCCTAGCCCTCTCCTAGCCTCCCCAGGGTGGGGGGCAGTGTTCCCCTCCACCTCTTCCATTCCAGGTTTTGTTTTGTTTTGTTTGGATTTTTATTTATTTATGATAGTCACAGAGAGAGAGAGAGAGGCAGAGACACAGGCAGAGGGAGAAGCAGGCTCCATGCACCGGGAGCCCGACGTGGGATTCGATCCCGGGTCTCCAGGATCGTGCCCTGGGCCAAAGGCAGGCGCTAAACCGCCGCGCCACCCAGGGATCCCCTTGTTTTGTTTTTTTTTAAAGATTTTATTTATTTTTTCATGAGAGACACAGAGAGAGAGGCAGAGACACAGGCAGAGGGAGAAGCAGGCTCCATGCAGGGAGCCTGAGGTGGGACTCGATCCCGGAATCTGGGATCATGACCTGAGCCAAAGGCAGACGCTCAACCACTGAGCCACCCAGGCATCCCCCATTCCAGGTTCTGTTAGGAAAACTCTCTCTACTCCTCCAGCATCATCCCCCAGCGAGTTGTAAGAACCTCGGCAGGGAGACAGGAATGGACCTGGCACAGTCCCTCTGTGTTCCTGCTACCCTAATTCTCCTGTGAGGACAGAAGGCCAGAAAACATGGGCATCAGAGGGCGTCCTAGGATAATATTTCAGGATTTCACATGGATGCAGGCTATTGGGTCCATGGCCTGCTCTGAGGGGTGCTTCCAGGCCCCAGACCTGCTCTGTAGGGTGCAGAGACTCACCCTACACGGAGCCTGGGGCATCCTGCAGGCCCTTTCCTGTCACCCCTTCCCCACCCTCCTAGAACAATGCTGCGCTGGCAGGGCAGCCGTAGAACCAGACTATCCATCCTCCACTTCCTCCCAGAACACTAGGGGAGTGATCCTGCTTCTCTGCCCCCGGATCCCTGCTCCAAAACAGGGCTGGAAGTGATGGCTGTGTTCCCTGCAGGCAGTGTCTGCATGTTCAGCCAGTCTGCCAGCTCTGGGACTGTCAGCATGTGGGACAGTCATGTGGGACTTGGCATGCATCTCTGCACCTGTCCCAGAGTTTTCAATTTGTCTGGTCCCAGGTGGGGCTTGAGAATTTGCATGTCCAACGAACTGGCTACAGGTCTGGGGACCACACTCTGGGAACCACAGGTTTCCCTGCTATGACAACACCTGGCATGTAGTAAGGCTTGCAGAAGAGTGCCACCTCTGTAGCCACCGGAGTCCCTGAGAATGGGTGCTGCACCTCCCCGACGCAGCCCCCACCCTCAGGGCCTGCCTCTTGATGACCACAATAGCCTCCCTCTTCTTGCCCTAGTTCTGGGCACCTCCCTAGCTACTCTCCAGGCCCCCGGGGCTCGGCCCTTTGGCCTACTGGCAGCCCTGTTCTCTCCTGCCACTGCGTCCCATCCCTGAGGACCATCCTTCCCAGGGCAGAGGGGGGTCCCTGCCCATAGACGGGAACACTGCCAGAGAGAAGCTTCTGCCCCCCCCCCCCAGCCTGCCGTTGAAGTGGGCCAGCAGCCCAGCCCTCACCTGGTCACCGCACATGCATGCCCCCTCCAGCAGAGCTCTGAGAGGCTTTGCTGGTAAAGAGTTGCTTCCAGGACGGCCTGTCAGCCCCATCAATCCTCACCATTTGGTTTTGCTTTGGAGAGTCATTGCTCTTCTGTGAGGCTCTGAGCAAAGTTAATTGACATGAAATTGTATTCAAAATCCAATTTGCTCTCACAGATCCGCTTCAGGCCCTATAAAGCAGCAGAGCCAGCTATTCCTTTGGGGTTCAAATATGCTTTTTGCCTGCAGGGTGACAGCCAGAAAACCAGTTCTGGCCAACAGGCCAGCCCTAGTGCCACGTCTATGAACTAAATGTCAGTTCCACCATGGTAGTAGACGCTCGTGGTTTCCGCCTTCCCAGTATTCATTCCACCTCCTTCAGGTTAGAGCACGTCAAAGAATTTGAGATTCTTAGACTGCTTCCGTGGTCTTGTTTGGGGGCTGAGCTCATTGAGATGCTCCTCCCTCCCCTAGCCAAGGAACAGGCTGGTATGTTAGCTCCGCTGTGGTAATGCTGCATAACGAGCAGCCCACAGAATTCCTGTGACTTACAACACTAAGTGTTCTTTTCCTTGCTCCCAGGGCTATGGATTGACCTGAGGGGCTCTGCTTCAGACTGTGGGTCAGGCGCAGGTGTCTCTCTGGAACCCAGGTGGCAGGATGTGAACCACCTGGGGCATTCTCCTGACAAAACTCAGAGGGCCAGGCCGAACCACAGAGGTGCCCAAAAACCTGTACTGTAAGCCTTGCATCTTGTCTGTTCACATCTCGTGTGCAGCAAGTCAGGTGGCCAGGGCTGCCCTACATGAGACAGGAAGCCGATGCCTGCCCCCGGGGTTGTGGAGGGCTGGCACTGCTAACCACATGGCAGAGAATAGGCATGGTTCTGTGGAAGTGAACATGCGGGGATATTCCCACATGCCACAGACCGTCCCTGGAGTTACAATCTGTCCTTAGGACAGTATCCAAGAGATTGATATTTGGGGTGTGCCCATCCCAAATGTGCCTCTTCCCCTAGTTCCTGCTCCACGGGACCTGCTCTGTGGTCAGTTTCTGAGCCTGTCCCACCACCCACTGTCCACACCCACTGTCCTGATCAGCCCTGACGCCAATGTCATTTCTTCCCAGTGGCTGGCTGCTGGCTTCACGCTGAGCCGGGTCCCACATGAGAAACCGGTGCATGCTCTGGCAAGCAGAAGTGAAAGCAGGACCAGTTTACTCCAGATGAGCTTCAAGGCACCTGGGTTTGCCAGGGTTGTGCACCAAGTTGGGATCCACGGTCCCCTGCCCCCCAAGGGTTCTGGTTGTGTCCCTCTGCTTCTTGGTTCTGCAGGAAAGTTGTATCGTGTGTGGAGGTGGTGAGAGGTCTGTTTAGACTATCTTCACGGCTGCTGCCAGCCTTCCCAGAGATGTGCCCTCACCACACGTGCTGTGCCTGTGACGTGGAAGGCCGGGCTGTGGGGCCCAGACAGTGCCCCCTGAGACCTGCAGTCTCTCCCACAGGGATGCCCTCTCCTGCATCTTGGTGCTCGCTCTAATGGGTGAGCACATCTGTCAGCTCCAGAAGAGCAGCATTGGGCCTGACTTGATGCCAGCATGCAGTGGGGGCTGGAAGCAATGTGGAGGGCCGCAGGTCTCCCAGCCTCCTGGCTGGCCTGGAGGATGCTTTCCAGCCGGCCTAGGCCTGGGGGAAGAGGAGGGGGAGGCTCCAGTGAGAAAGTGGTATCTGCAGGGCATTGTCAGAGCTGGAGGGTGCCGCCCACGTGCCCCCTACACCATACCTGTTCCGAGCTGTGCTGACAGCAGGGGAGGTCTGTGGGAGCAAGAGAAGCCCCAACAAAGTGCCTGGACTCACAGGGCTCTTCCCTTGATGTTGCCGGAAACCCAAACCCAGACTCTCTTACTTCATCTTGGAAACTCAGAGGTATTTCCTGGGCCTGAGGTAGAGCTGGACTCCCGAGACGGGCTTTACCTGCAGAGGTGAGCTCAAGATCAAGGGGAAGGACACGGTCTCTCAGAGCCTCCA